CAAGTGGTCATGGTTGAGGAAGCCTGCTTTACCCCATATTCCTTCATCTGAAAATTTTGATCTGATGCCTGTGGAGTATTTTTGGCCTAATTTTCTTGAGTAACTTTTAAGCCACTATTAAACTGGAGCAGAGATGGTGGTACTGGTAAAATTATTTTGCATATTGCATTCTGTCACTCCATTTCCACTTTTGTATCAATTTGGTGCATGCAAGACATCAATAAATCATATGATTTTCAAGGAAAACAACTTTAGAAAAAAAGTAACTGTGGTTCAGCAGTAACAATTTCAGACTGCTGTCCAAGGCATGTTTAAAGAAAGTGCTACTGGGAAAGTGCTCTGTATTGGCAGAGCTGAGCACATAGGATGAAAGACAGGAGGCATTAACCTCCTGCTTTAGAAACCCTTTGGTCTATACACCCTAGCTGCACCTTCTGCCTGGGTGTGGTGGCTTGGTAGATACTGCTACTACTAGCTATTTTCCAAGGGGATTTTATCTGGTATATGAGAGAGATAGGACCCTCATAGTCTATGCACTTTACTGGGCAATAAAAGGAAAAAAGATTATTTAAAAAGGCATAAATTCCATAGCTCCACCTCTTGTACATTGAGCTGTGTCACTAGGGAAATCAACGCCACTCCTTTGGGAGATTGTGAGATCAATCTCACAAGGCTTGAATAGAATCAAACTTTATTAAAACAGGAAAGAGAAAATGTAAAAATCACTTTTCAGTTTCAAGTAATCACTTGTAAAATATTCAGTGGCTGTCAGCTCTTCGAGGTAGTCCAGACATGAAACCAAAACCTTGAGTACTAATACTACCTTTATTGTAAGGTTACAGTAACAGAATCTTGCAAGTCTGAAAGCACTTTCCCCCTCCCCTGCCTTTACTTCCCAAAGAACTAGGGATGGTCTCTTCTGAGATGCTTTCTCCACCCCCGTCTCCCCTTTGGACTCAGATCTCTCTTATCAGACTGTTGTTTAGGCTGCGGCTCTTCTTCCTATCTCCCAAGATAACTCTCACAGCCCATTACATTGGAAAGAAGATAAAAATGCAGAGTTATTGAAAATACATATTGCAATTTTAAAGGATCCCTCATAGAAACAACTATATAACAATACGAAGGGCTATATAAGGCAGATGGAAGTTGATATTGGTTTGCCTCTAATTTAAAGGAACTCTATTGAAAAGAGGTTCTAAGTAGTATAAAAGGACAATTAATTGAGCGTTCATAGAGAACACAAATACAAGTAGTCCTTGCTTAGCATCCACAACTGGGACTGGCAACTCAGTCACTAAGTGCCATGGTTGCTAAGTGGAAAATCACATGACCAGAATGGGTTTACAACATCAGTTCCACTGTGGTCATTAAGCAAATCACCAGTCATTAAATGAGACATCACATGACTGTGACTTACAATTTACTTCTGCTTTCTTTATAAACTCTACTTGTCACAAGCTGGTTGTGAAGCACGCAGATGGTGATTATGTGACATTGGGACACTGTGATGGTTGTAAATGTAGGATTGGTCACAAAGCTATTTGTTTTACACCATCGCAACTTCCAAAAGCCAAAAGCTCTTTTACCTGGAGGGGGAAGGGTTGGGACAATCTTTTTGCAGTGTACTAAAGCATCCCTTTCTGTAGAAGAAGTTGATTCAAATGTCTGAGCTGCCTCTTGTCAGGTTGCAGGTGGGGATCAGAATGTGGGGATGGGGGCTTGCCTGTCCATCAGCTACAGATTGATACAGCAATTTTTCTCCTTTCAGAGCTCAAAGAGGCCTTTCGGGAGTTTGACAAGGATTGTGATGGCTACATCAGCTATAAGGACTTGGGAGAATGTATGCGAACCATGGGCTACATGCCTACTGAAATGGAACTCATAGAATTATCTCAACAAATTAGTATGTGCCTTCTACTATAAGACAACCTAACGCCTAAGGAATACTGTGAAATAATGGATGTCAGATTGAGAAATGTCTTCCAGTTACATTTAATATGAATTCTGTGCTTTTTCCCCTCTGTCCCTTTATCTCTGAGTGCTGGGATTATAATCAGCAATTCCCTTTGACGGCCTCTCATTTTTGAACTGCTCTTACAGCTCAGATGTTAAAACTGATATTCATCTCTTGATCCCTCCCAATTTTTCATCCACATTGTTATGAATAGCATCCTTGAAATTATCTGCTACCCTGACTAGGAATATTTCAGCTGACAGCTCTGATCCTCCCACACCCCCAGGTATTTATGGAGAAAAAACAAGAACAACCCCAAACTGAGAGCCAGTGTGGTCTAGTAGTTAAGGTGCTGGCCTGGCACTGAGGAGGCCCATTTTCAAGACCATCCTTAGTCACAGAAACTCATGGGGCGATCTTGGGCCAGTCACTCTCTCTCAGCCCAATCTACCTCAAAGGATTTTTGGGGTGGAGAAAAATGGAAGATGGGAGCAATATGTACAGCCATGTGAGCAACTAGATGAAAGGCAGAATATAAATGAAATGAATAAATAGAACCCCAAATTTTAACCCTTATTTATACTTTTTCTAATCTGCTTCAGTATCAAGAAATGCCTTGTTCCTTGTTACAGATGGAAGGTTCTCCATGCCACTGGAGCAAGCCTCTAAATGCCAGAATAATGTGCTACAGCCAAACCCTTCAGGTGTCCTTGCCTCATCATTGCCTTCCCTCTCTGCCAAGAAAGGAGCCACTTATTTAGCCATGCCTAGCAGTTCCCCTGCTGAGTAATTTTAATCCTAATTCTGTAGGAACTCATCTGGTGGAAATGGAAAATATGAATGGGGTAATGCAATGATTCTGACCTTTTCTTGCAGCAGTGTATCGCTGCAGAGAAACGCTTTTTCCACTGTCCCCTTCAAAAAATGTTTTAACACAGCACATGAATTCTGATGAAACTCTTCATATGAGTAAACCGTAATATACTTCAAATAGTATATTATTTCAGATAGTAATTACAAATAACTTATTTCAGACAAAAACCATCAGCCAACAAAAGATTAGTTATCCAAATCTTCTTCCATTATGAATAACACATACTTTGGTTATGGTTAACACTTACTTGCATTTTTCTCTGAAGGCAATTCCAGAGAATTGTTGCCATGATGGAAAAAATAGTGCTTTTTTGCCTCGTACCTCCCTGCCCCCCCACTTACTTCACAGAATTGGAGTACCATCAGCAGCTTCTTTTGGGAGAATCTCCTTGGATAGGTTGACTCAGATTGGAGCAGGGAACCCTTACAGGTGCCAAGCCATTTGGGCTTTAAAAGTCAAAACTAATCTTTTAAACTGTATCCCAAAACTTATGATAACCAAAGCAGGGCCCACAAAAGAGGTATCATATTATCATGGCAATGAGCACCAGTTAGCAAGCAGTCCACTGCATGTTGAACTAACTGTGTAGTCTTTAAAGGTAGCCCCACGTAAACCACATTGCGGAAGTCCAGCTGAGTGGGGATGAGGGCATGAGTCGCTGTAGAAAATCCACAAAACTGTTCTGGGCTCTTTTTTCTCACCTCCACAGAGCATTGCTGCTTTGTTTTTTAGTGTTGAGACCAAGGCACTTTTAAACCACCACTATTTTCTTTCCCCAATCTCTCAAAAATACTTTGAAGCCAACCCCCAATTATTTCCCCTTCTGCCAACTTTGAAATGCTGAGAATAGGAGAGAATACCATGAACTAATCAGGGTTACCTCAGGATAACCAGTAAGAAAAAGCTAAACAAACAAACAAACAAACAAACAAACAGATAAGTAGAATTCAAACTGCTGCAGTTCCTGGAATGAAATCTTCTCTCACACACGCCCCACTCAAATGGGAAAACAACTAGTTAGCACTCCCACTTTCTCATCCATGTTTTCAGTTTATGTTGTATGCATTGTCTGATTGTTGTTGTTGTTTAAAAAAATCTGAACAGTTGCTAGAAAGGGAACTACTCTGGTCCCTGCAGCTTCTGTCAGGGGTCTCCATAGGTGTGTAGGCGTCCATGTGCATCTCAGAAAAGTCCAGATGGTGGCCACAGCTATGTAATCAAAATCCCGCTCTTTTCCACATGGTTGTAGCCACCATCTTGACTTTTTCAACTCTCCTGTAGAGGCCCCTGGCTTTTGCTGAAAAGACTGTCAAGTGTGATGCTGGAAGGATAGCATGTCAGCCATTTTGCAGCTAGGGCATTTTTCCCAGTAGCTCCAACCATGGCTGTTGATTGCCGTGCTGAAATGGGTGAACTCAGCCAAAATTGATCCATGCTGTTTTGACTTTTTCAAGACCATTGCAAGTGTTCCCAGGAGTCCCGTAACCCAGGCAAAGCAAGGAGATGCGAAATGGAGAATAATGTTTTTTTCCCCTCTTTTCTGCAGGGACAAGCAGACTGCAAAGCTCTAGGGGGCTATTCAGGTTTTTCTTCCCCTTTTTTTTCCAGGGACAAGCAGACTGCAAAGCTCTAGGGGGCTATTCAGGTTTTTCTTCCCCTTTTTTTTCCAGGGACAAGCAGACTGCAAAGCTCTAGGGGGCTATTCAGGTTTTTCTTCCCCTTTTTTTTCCAGTGACTGCCTTGAAACAAAAGTTCCTTAGAGGATACGTTTTAAACAGAGGTGGGAGGTTGGTTGCCTTGAATTCAGGAGGGGGGGGGGTAAGGAAAGAATTCCCATCAATGAAGAAAAGAACCATGCACAAACCAATTGCTTCAAAGCACTGCAAACATTAATACTACCCTTGCTGCAATTTTAAATACATCACAGCTGAGCTGGAAATACTGGCTCAGATTATTGAACACAGGCAATGGAATGGGATGGCAGGGTTCAAAACCATTTTTGAACAATGATAGAAAGCTCATATTAGAGATGCCCTGAATGTGAAAATAGTAGTGTTGAGGAAAAACCACTGGCTGTGTAGACTTGCTAATAGGGTTCAAATTCTGATTATTTGGATTGAAAGCAGCCATTTTACTCCTGTAGAAATATACAGAATCCGCACAAAAGGGAATTCTGGTGGGGGCATGGTGGTTACACAGATGAAAAGAAGTTCAGTTTGTACATTGTGAGATGGCCTTGGCTCACAGTATAAAATATTTAACTTTGTGCTGCCCAGCCTCTTCTGAAAATGCCTTTATATGTCTACAGCTGGAGGGAAAGTGGATTTTGATGACTTTGTGGAACTGATGGGCCCCAAGCTGTTGGCAGAGACAGCAGACATGATTGGGGTTAAAGAGCTGCGGGATGCCTTCCGAGAGGTGAGCCGCATGAACCAGTTATAAGGATCAGAGGTGGTAGTATTACATGCGTGCTGACTGTGTTTTCACAATACACTACGGCTAAATGTATTTAATTAATAATGGTTTACTGAATAAACCACACTTGGCTGGTTTCAGTAATAGACTATTGTTTACAAAACAGTCCTGGATGAGTTGAATCAACACACTAAGCCATAAATAAGCAGATCACACTGAATCATTTAATTCAGATTAAATCATATGTGACAAATTGCATGATCACATACAGTGAACAAACAGTGGCTGGATAACTATACGTTGTGGATGTTTTAATTTGGATTAAATTGTACCTGATGTTTCAAAAGCCCTTTTCAACTGTTTCTAGGTGGTTTGTTTGTTTACCTCTAACAGCTGGATTCATAAAACATACTAAGCCAAAATCAACCAAGATAGGCCTAGGTTGTGTGTACCTAGCCCATGTGACTATATGGTATATTGAAGACATTTCTAATTCATTTTGCTGCCTTGTTTTTCCATATAATGAATATTTACAATTTTAAGTTAGGTGGTATCTTTGTTAAAACCAATCAAAATGTTTTCAAAATTAGTATGCATACCTTCAAGATGATCAATATTTCATCAGGCCAAAAAAATAAATAAGAATCAAGCCACAAGGTGACAAACCAGTGCCAGAAATTAGACATTGAGTTTTTCATTTTAGGTTCGGTGTCAAAGTGAAGAGTGAATGTTTTAGTCATTGCTAGATACTATAGGTACCAAATTACACCAAGGACTCTGAGGATTATCCTCATTCCTGAAAACAGAGGCACCTGTTACCCAGATTTTCCTCCACCTTTACATAAATTCAAAGATTCCAGGCTAGAGAGCAGAAGTAAAGAGAAACACCTCAATTATCCCTTTAGGAAACATGAGATTATTTTTAGGCTGTGCCCTATTAAAAAAAAACAAAACCTAAGGCCAAATCGCGAAGGAAACAAATCTTCACTATTTTAATTAAGTTCACTCTTTGAGTATCTCTCCTGCTCTTGATATGGATGGGTGCTAATCCGTGATATTTAGGCAAGGAGGTAGCTTTACCACTGAATTTTAGCTTTTTGGAATGTTGTTGACTAAGAAATCTTCAGCCCACCAGTTTTTCCTCAGCAGGATATAGATTCAGGGGTATTGTTTTTCTTCATTTTATTTTCCTTTACTACTGAACGAGGTAAGGAGGATAGCCTCCATACTTCCACTGCTGTCCATTTTTGGCATTCTTCTAGGCCACACTAGGGCCCCACTTTCATGCTTTCCCCCCTTCCTTTGGTGAAACTGACATAAGAGAATATTCTTTACATATCAAAGGGAATCCTTAGTGATACTAAAAAGGCACTGGAGACAACAGATAGAGAAACTGATAAAGTATTGGTGAAATTAAGGAGATTCCTCCTTGGTATTCTCTGTTTACTGGAATCATCTAGGTATAGGAAATTATGAAATGCTGGGCTACAAGGATTCTGTGTATTTGGGATTCCATCTAAGACAAGTCTTGAGTTTTCAGGCAGGGAAAATTATCTAGTGTAGTAACTGGAGACGATGGTGCCATTTTAAATTGGGAAGGCAGAATTGTAAAGTAGAAAAAAGTCATTTTCGGGGCATTGGGAACCAGCCTCCTACAACATGCAGGAATCCGATACTGTACATACATACATACATTTCACAAATAGCTGTCCAGCTTTTGCCTGAACACATCTAGCAAATGGAAGTTCACCATTTCTCTGAATGATTCCACACTCAACTTGCTCTTCCTATTAACAAGGTTTTTTTTTTTTTTGCCTTCCTGTAACTTAAATGCATTCTTCCATGTCCAGGACTCTGCACTGATAGAGAACAGGTTTTGACCTTTTTGTGTATAATAATGTATTTTAGGAATTTGAATTGTGTTATCATGTCCCCCTCAGTCTTTTGTTCTCAAGACTAACATTCCCAGTTCTTTCAATCTCTCTTTATAGATTTAGTTTCTAATCCCTAATCATCCTCATGGCCCTATTCTGAGCCTGTTCCAAATTCTCTGAATCCTTCTTAAGTAATACTTCTTAACTGCAGCAAAGGAAGCTTCCATAGAAGTAATGAAAGCTTTTTCAGGCATTTTTTTGGCCTTGAATTTGCAAAGTTCACATGAGTATACACTGTAATGTAATTGTGTCCAGCTGCTTGAAATGTCTGCTATATGCAAGCCCATTTGGATGGGCAGGATGTATACATAAGCATATTGCCATTATTTGTCAACTAAGAATAGAAAACAATACTGGGTTCAAGCAAGACTGGAGAAGTATGAGAGATGGCTAAATGAATGGTGAAATAAGGTGTTTGTGTGTTTCCTCCTTCCAGTTTGATACAAATGGTGATGGGCAGATCAGCATAGCTGAACTACGGGAAGCAATGCATAAGCTCCTAGGGCAACAGTTGAACTACCAAGAGGTGGATGAGATCCTCCAGGATGTTGATTTGAATGGGGATGGTCTTGTGGACTTTGAAGGTATGACAGGAAAATCCTTTGGGCTGAAAATTTGTATTTTACAAATGGAGTAGGATGTATGAACTGAGGCTGGGAGACTATTTGGAACTTGTTGTTGGTTTTGGGAAGGAACATATTGAACAGGTTGGTAGAAGAAAATAAACACTGGGGATTGGGGTACTGTATTTACTTCTATCGATCCCCATTTTAGGAAAATAATAAGGTTAAAAAAAGGGAAAGTTTGTGAGAGCTAAGATTTCTGTTTTATTTCAAAGCAGCAAATACTTATAAGAATGCCCATATATTGTGAGCCTGGCATGGCATCCTTTTTAACTCAGCTACAGCACTTTATCTTTCCACATTGGCAGGCATATTTTTAACTGGAGAAAGTAAACATTTGAACTCAGTGGATGGCTCTAAATCTTTACTCAGTGAACCATAATGGCAAGATCAGATTTTGCTCCTATAAAGCTCTGTTGCCCCTAACTGGCCCCTTACTTCTAAGCAATGTTAAATAAAATGATACTTTTTTTCTTCTCTCCTGATGTGCTGGAATCTACATATAGAGTTTGTACGGATGATGTCTCGTTGAGAAAGACAAGCAGCAATACAAGGATGAAGTGCCTTGAGAGGGACAACTTCACACTGCCATAAATTCAAACTTCAATAAATCCGGCCATTAGGAGAAAAGGCAGCAAAGAAGAATTTCCCACATATCCTGTTTCCTGCCTGGAGCCAAACAGCCACTCCAGAGAGTTCAACCAGGTTCAGAACCCTTAACGATGTTGTGGATCATAACCAGAGGAATACCCTACCTCTGTACTAAATATGGCCATGTACATTAACCCCAATTTATCTTAGATTTCAGATGCCATCATATCTTGTTAACTGTTTGCTGTAACACTGAATTTTCATTCTATTCATTCCAAACAGGGTTAACCAATGAAGCTTCAAAATTGTTCTGTTTGCATTTGTGAAAATATTCCAAATACCTCTGTTCTACTATAAGAAGGGCTGATTCTCTTTATTTTTCCTTCCTCTAATGGCTGTTTTCTGTTTCACAATATATTTTGCTTCCCACTGTGGCACAAGTAATATTTTCCCATTTCTGATATGCTATATAAAGTCATAAACTGTTTTTCCTAAGCAGGATAGAAATGCAAAGGTGTTGACTTATGGCCCAAGACAGAATTATTAGGACCTAGATAGGCAGCTGGTTACTCTTAAACCAATTTTAATGTCCAAATAAAACTGATGATACAAGAATGTTGATTAAGTCCCTAGGAAGTAGCACCTGTGATCCAGAAGTGTATCTACTTTGATGGAACTGGAACTCCAAAGGATAGAACTACTGCTTTTTTTGCTTGATTCCAGGACATACTTCTTCCATGTGTTCTATAAAAGCGAGGATGCTTTGTAGATTGCCCTTCAAGATCAAGACCTATTCTCTATCATTCCAGAGTACATGACACAAAATAATGGATAAGTTATAGGAAGACCAATTATGATTGAATGTTAAGAAAAACATGTTAACTGTAAGAACAGACTAGTAGTGGAAACAATAACCCAGAAGGGGGTAGACTCCCTTTCATTGGTTGTGTTCCAGCAAAGACAAGACAATGATTTATATGAGATGCTTTAATTTGGATTCCTGCATGGAGGAAACTCAATGGCTAAATGCCCCCTTCCAGTTCTATGCTACAAATATATTAATCTATTTTATTAGCAATTTTGTATTGTATTGGTAGTTTTTAGAGTCTTTTGGAGAACACTAGAACTCCCTCAAAAAGAAAGTAATGATGAACTAGCTTTCCTATTTTGTCTTTGAAAATGTACAGCCTAAGGAGAGTGTAGAATGAGCTTCAGATGCAATCTTGCATTCATACAGACTGATAAAGCACACCAGACAGACACAGCATGATGTCCTAAATAAGCATGTACCAATATGTTTCAGAATGATTTCATGGCAAACAGAAAAAGTCTGTAAAGCCAGGGACTCCTGAAGAATCCAAATTAAAGCATCCCCCAAAAATGCCTGTCTAGTCCCTGCCTGAACACACTGAGCAAAGAAAAGTAACTGACTGCATTGTCAAACTGTTCTTCCCGTTACATTTCTTTTTCTAACAATCAGAATCTGCTTTCCTGTAATTGAAATTCATTTTCCATAACCTATACCCTGGAACAATAGAAAACAAGTCTTGAATTTTTCTGTATGTAACAACTATTGATTACAAACTGAATATGAACTAGCAATGTCACATTTGAAGAGTCTATTATGTCCCCTCTCAGCTTTTATTTTGAAGTCTAAGCATTCCTATTCTTTCAGTTCCTGTTCTTCTGATGTCATTTCTAGTCTTCTGATCACCTCTGCTGCTCTTCTCTGAACCTTTTTTACTTTGTCTGAAACCTTCAAGTGGAATGCAGACAAGGGGAACTATTCCTTCCTATTAGCTATATTTCTGTTATGCAGCCTAAACTGCATTTGCCTTTTTATACCCAGACGAACTGATGGTTCACATTCAGCTTCTAATCAATTACTGTTCCAAGAATTGTTTCACAAGTACTATAAACAAGCCAGTTATTTTCTATTCTATAATTGTATATTTTGTTTTTGAAGTGAAGAATTTTGCATTTGTCTCTGTTAAATTTCATTCTCGGCCCATTTCTCTAACCTAACAAGTTTATTCTGAATTTTACTTCCTTTAGCATTATCCCAGTTGTGTCATCTGTTAATTCAATAAGCATTTCTTCAACCTACACATGCA